CAGCGCTGCGCTAGTTTAACGGACAATTGCGTGGTCATGCAATATGGTACATAAATGATATTTACCTCCTTTTTTTCCCCACAAATTGAGCTTTCTTTCGGTGGTATTTGATTGCCTGTGCGTTTTTTATTTTTTGCGCTATAAAAAAAAAAGGCTGACAATTTTGAGGAAAAAAAACAATATTTTGGACTTTTTTCTATAAAACATGTCCAGTAAAAAAAAAATTAAAAATCAAATTTAGTCATACATTTCTGCCAAAATGCATTCTGCGAAATGTCTTTGCTACAAAAAAAACCCAATACATGTAAATTAATTGGTTTACGTGAAAGTTATAGCATTTACAAATGGCGGGAAAGATACTGGGATTTTTAATTTTTTTTTATACTAATAATGGCAGCGATCAGTGACTTATGGCGGCGATCAGCGACTTATGGCAGGACTACGGCGGACATTCTGACACTGGGGGGGAACTGACTTGGGGTCACTGACATTCCCACTGACACCAATACAGTGATCAGTGCAAAAAAAACACAAAACACTGTACTAATGGCACTGGGGAGGAAGGGGTTAACTTTATTATTCAGTGAAAGGGTTAACTGTGTGAGGGGAGTGTTTTACTAAGGGGCGGGGGTGTATACTGCATGGAGACACACTGATCCGGACAGAAACTCTTCTGTCCTTCTGTTCCGATCAGCGTGTCAGGAGCTGTCAGGGAACTGACAGAAAGCACAGCTACTGCAGCTGTGCTCTCTTTCACTGATTGCTGCTAATCGCCGGGACATAGCCGGTAACGACCGGCTGTGACCCGGCGACTGACATCCGCGGCCGTGATCGGCGGGACAGGTAGGGCGGCAGCGCGCCTCGCGCGCGCCCCCTACCTGTTTTCAAAACACACGTTTTAAAACATGGTTTTGCCCAGCCGTGCCGCCCTGCCACCGTATTTCTACATTGGCTGGGCGGCATGTGGTTAAAGCAGCTCCATCACCATTTGTTTTAAAAACTGTTGCCACCTGCATAACACAATGGCAAAAGGGCGGACTTTAATGCCCAATTGCTGCACATATGCATCACTGGATGGCCGATTTTTCCATGCTGAGACCACGCTCACTACATGCTCCCAGCACGGACGCTGAGCCATTTAACCACTTCAATACTGGGCACTTTCACCCCCTTTTTGCCTAGGCCAAGTTTCAGCTTTCAGTGCTATCGCACTTTGAATGACAATTGCGCAGTCATGTAACACTGTACCCATATAAAATTTTTAGCATTTTTTGAGACAGATGGAACTTTATTTTGGTGGTATTTAATCAACACTGAATTTTCTATTTTTTGCTAAACAAATGGAAAAAGACAGAAAATTGTGAAAAAGACCAAGAATTTTGAAGAAAAAAAAAATTTTTCTTAGTTTCTGTTATAACATTTTTCAAATAAGTAATTTTCTTCTTCATTGATCTGCGCTGATGAGTCTGCACTGATGTGCGCTGATGAGGCTACACTGATGTGCGCTGATGAGGCTACACTGATGGGCACTGATAGGCTGCACTGAAGGGCACTGATAGGCAGCATTGATGGGTACTGAGAGGCAGCACTGATGGGCACTAATAAGCAGCACTGATGAGGCTTGTGGTGTCAGTGTGACCAGCCACATACACAGGTCTGTAAAAGTACTATTAATATTATTATTATTATTATTATAAAGTATTTATAAAGCGCTGTACATTACAAAGGGGGACAGAACATGTGACAGAACAATACCAATACAATGCAAAACATGAGGGGATTGAGGGCCCTGCTCTTTCCAGCTTACAATCTAGAAGGGACGGGATAGTGGTACAGGAGGAGATAGCTGTGGGGGATGGAGTGGTAGGAAGAGTGGAGGAGATCGGCAAGTTAGCAGGGGGTGGGGTAGGCTTCCCTGAAGAGATGGGTTTTCAGGGTGCACCTAAAGGAGAGGAGAGGAGGTGATAATCTGGTGCGTTGGGGCAGGGAGTTCCAGAGGATGTGGGTGACACCCTGGAGAAGTCCTGGAGGCGGGCATGGGAGGAGGAGACCAGGGAACTAGAGAGAAGGAGGTATTGTCAGGAGCGGAGTGTGCGTGCTGAGCGGTACTTGGATATTAGGTCAGTGATGTAGTTTGGGGCAGTATGGTGGACGGCTTTGTACGTCAGTGTTAGGATTTTGAATTTGATCCACTGAGCAATCGGAAGCCAGTGGAGGGTTTGGCAGAGGGGGGGTGGCGGAAACGGAGCGGTTGGAAAGGTGAATGAGTCTGGCAGCCGTATTCAGGATCGACTGAAGCGGGGATAGCCTGTGGCGAGGCAGGCCAGTGAGGAGGGAGTTGCAGTAATCGAGTCGTGATATGATGAGGGAGTGGATGAGCTGTTTAGTGGTTTCTGGGGTTAGGAATGTGCGGATTTTGGTGATGTTGCGGAGGTGGAGTCTGCATGAGTTAGTTAAAGATTGGACTTGGGGCTGGAAGGATAGATTAGAGTCCAGAATGACACCAAGTACTCTGGCCTGCGGGGCGGGTTTGATGGTGGTGTTGTTGAATGTGATGGAGAAGTCAATGGGGGGTGGTGTCCGGGCTGGGGGAAGACAAGAAACTCGGTTTTGGAGAGGTTCAGTTTAGGGAAGTGGAGCGACATCCAGTCTGATATGTCGCTCAGTAGGTGTGTGATTCGGGCAGAGACCGAGGGGGTGAGGTGGGGGGGGTTGAGAGATAGATTTGTGTGTCGTCGGCATAGAGATGGTAGTTGAAGCCGTGAGAGTGTATGAGTTGGCCAAGGGAGGAGGTGTAGATGGAGAAGAGAAGGGGCCCAAGGACAGAGCCTTGAGGGACTAAAGTACCTAAAGTAAAGGACTAAAGAAGTACTAAAGCCAGAGTGTCAGTGTAACAGTCGATGTGCATCTTCAGAAGAAGGGGCTCCCGGGGAGCTTCCTACTACCCACAGAGTTACGTCTAAGGAGGACAGAGCCATGCTTGATAGCTGGGTGAGCAGAGTACGAGAATAGACCAGACCATATTCCAGAGGGTTCCTGGATCCTTACCTTAAGAGGGGTTATCTCTTACATGCGCATGTTGATTGCGCATCTGGTGAGTGTGCAGTCTTATATCAATTTTGGATATCACCACATTTATCTGTCAGTAGGGATCCTCACGATCCTCTCAACACTTAATCAACTGGGATATTGTGGACTGGGCACTCACAATTATCTCTATATTATGTGGACTTTAATGTTCTTTGCACTTTAATGTGTTTTGCACTATGATGTATTGTTCACAAACAATTATGTAGAACGAGATATATTGGTTTTAATATTTTTTTTATTCTTTTCGTTCATCTTGGATTCCATAGCGCTGCACTTTTTGTTTACATATGAATTTTGGAGGTTAATTTGGTACCTTTTGTGTTCAGCGGCTATAGTTACTTGTAGCGCTCACTTATCTGTTTTTTATGTAGCACTGATAAGGCACTGATAGGCAGCACTAATGGGCACTGATAGGCTGCACTGATGGGCACTGATAGGTGGCACTGATTGGCACTGATGAAGCTGCACTAATAATCAGGGCACTAATGATCAGTGCCCTGATTATTAGTGCAAATGTGTGCTGTCAGAATTGCTGGCTCTCCTACTCACACTGTGACAGCGAGTGAGGAAAGGAATGCTGATAACCGGCAAGCCTGTTTACATGTGATCAACTGTGATTGGAATCAGCTGATCACATGGGAAAGGGCCACTGTGATCAGCTGTGTACGAAGGACACAGTGATCACAGAGCGCTCTGGATGTGCACCTTATGAGGTGTGCGGGGGGTGATGTTCTGGTATGACATCCATGAACGCCCTCCCAGAACTGGACGACAATGCTGTAGCCATCTTTTTTATATAGCATGGTCGGGAACAACGTAAGACAGCTCTCGCTCCCCACTAACAACTGGAAGGACAGCCAATCACAGTGGTCCCATGATCACCATTACGTCCTGTGCCCTGGGCGTACAGACACAGGGACTGGGCAGGAAGGTGTTAATCTGCTGAAGAAATGTCTCCCTGCAAAGTAAAGGGATAAAGCAGAACTCCGGGTGGATATAAATGGCACAAATGTATTCAGTTCTGTATTCAGTAATACATTAATATGACAACAGTACGAGCAGCTGAATATGACTTGCAGTCTACTGTATAAGCTCAGAAAGCGGGGATGGATAGGCAGCACAAGAAGCCAATTAGGTCTTCTGCAGTGCAAGGAACATGCTAGGAATAGAAAGCCATTAACTGGTCATACATGACTACACTAAGTTGCCAAACATATTAGGACGCTTGCCTTTACACGCACATGAACTTTAATGGCATCCCAGTCTTAGACCATAGGGTTCAATATTGAGCTGGCCCACCCTTTACAGCTATAACAGCTTCAACTCTTCTGGGAAGGCTGTACACAAGGTTTAGGAGTGTGTCTATGGGAATGTTTGACCATTCTTCCAGAAGCGCATTTGTGAGGTCATGAACTGATGTCGGACGAGAAGGCCTGGCTTGCAGTCTCTGCTCTAATCCATCCCAAAGGTGTTCTATCGGGTTGAGGTCAGAACTCTGTGCAGCCCAGTCAAGTTCCTACACCCCAAACTTGCTCATCCATGTCTTTATGGACCTTGCTTTGAGCACAGGTGTGCAGTCATGTTGGAACAGGAGGAAGCCATCACTAAACTGTTCTCATAAAGTTGGGAGCTTGAAATTGTCCAAATTGTCTTTAGTATGCTGATGCCTTAAAGAGTTCTTTTAACTGGAACTAAAGGAACTAAAACCCAACCCCTGAAAGACAACCTCACACCACAATCCCCCCTCCACCAAATTTTACACTTGGCACAAAGCATTCAGGAAAGTACCATTCCCCTGGCAACAGCCAAACCCAGACATGTCCATTGGATTGCCAGACAGATTTGTCATTCCAGAGACATGCTTTACACCACTGCATCTGACGCTTTGCATTGCACTTGGTGATGTAAGGCTTGGATGCAGCTGCTCAGCCATGGAAACCCATTCCATGAAGCTCTCTACACACTGTTGTTGTGCTAATATGAAGGCTACATGAAGTTTGGAGGTCTTTAGCTATTGATTCTGCAGGCAGTTGGCAACTTGTGCGCACTGTGCGCTTCAGCATGCACTGACCCCGCTGTCATTTTACATGGCCTACTACCATAGCTGAGTTGCTGTTGTTCCCAGCTGCTTCCACTTTGTTATAATACCACTAACAGTTGACCGTGGAATATTTAGTAGCAAGGAAATTTCACAGATGGACTTATTGCACAGGTGGCAACCTATCACGATACCACGCTTGAATTCACTGAGCTCCTGAGAGCCGCCTATTCTTTTATAAATGTTTGTAGAAGCAGTCTGCATGCCTAGGTGCTTGATTGTATACAACTGTGGCAATGGAGGTGATTGGAACACCTGAATCCAATGATGTAAAGGGGTGTCCCAATACTTATGGCAATATAGTGTATAAATTTCTGCTGAATTGACCAAAATTCAAGCCATGGGTGGCCCTGTTGGCAACCCCTAGGTCTACAAACATGAACAATCACTGTATTGATGGGGGAATCAAGCGATTTTCTTTCCTGCCACCCACGGTGGCAGGAAAGAAAAGGGAGTCATCTATAGGCTACCTTAGTCACTGGGAGTGGGAAGGTGAGCTGTTAAGTCTCCGGGGGGATCAGTTGAGCTGAGCTACTGGGTCACAACCGGAAGGGAATATTAGGGGGAGTGGAGCTGCTGGGAGAACGTGGATGCCTTCTGTTCTTCTGCTGTGAATATTATTAACAATCAGTCAGAGCAATGAGGTTTAGACCTGATCCTTTGAGGGGTCCTAGTCTCTGTGGCTGTTGCTGATACTGCTATCCTTGTTATGCCACTGAACTGTTAGGAAGTTAGGCTGTGAAAGAGTCAAAAGGGCCCATGCACAGGTAGATTAGGTCCCCCTGTTCAAAATGGTCTTAAAAATGAACAGTTTACATAATATGCACGAAAGAAGAAATCTGGGAATTCGTGTGTTGGGATTATGTGGGAGACATCAGTAACAGTTTTAGAAATACTGTATATACTGTACATGTCAACACAGCCTATTGTCTATTCTGGCCATGTGATACCTGAGCCTCAAATGTCATGGATGGGTGATACTTTGATAATTTATCAACAGATGAGATCTCATGCTAGCCACAAACATCACAATCTTGTATAATCACCTTGTAGATTTACCAACAACTATGTAGCACGAGGGCCTACTAGATTGGGTAACATTTGACCAGACTGTTTGGATAGGCTTTCATATGCCACCATTTTTTGTAAATCAAAATTAAAGTGTGATTGAGTTGTGTCTAATGTAGCTGGCTTACCAGTTATTTAGGCAGGCAAATTAGTAATAGAGTTAACCAATGCAGATGGACACTGCTAAATTTGTTTTTGGCATCTAGCGTCAATGGCCTTTGGTCATAAGGCCGTTAAGCGAAACTAATTTATTTTCTCGATTTTTGTGGCACAATGGAAAAATCACACAGGCAGCACCTTTTATGATATTCCTAGTTAAAAAAAAAGACTAACTTTAAATGGTTGAAAGCATTCCAGCTTTGAAATAGCTACCTGTAACTAATTTTCTTGGTCTTTCTGGTTCACGCTATCATCAAAATGATACTGAAAGGAAATCACATAGAAAAAAAGACGGCACATATGGGCCACACCGAGGGGTCGGTTAATGACAGCTGAAAGACGGAGCAAGATCTCCATTGTCAAGAACCAAATAAAATGATAAAACAGCCATCCAGGGGCTGCTGACATTGGGTTTGTCAGCTGTTGACAGGAAGCTTGTGAAAGATTGTTTTTACAAGATGTACTCATCTGCTGAATTCCATCTTGGGGGTGACAGCTCCATGTGCTAAATGTACTCATCTTGAGTTGTTTGGAAAGTTATTTTCTAAAAAGGAAAACAGGCCAGGAGCTCAAGAATAAAAAGTGTATAATAAAATGCTTCCAAAATGCATTATTTATTTAGATATGTTTATAGGACTCTGCATAGGACCATGGGACCAGGATTTCAAGAAGGGTTTAGAACAGGCTGATGCTGCTGCAGGTGACAGTTGGTGCATCTTCATCTCTTCCAGAAGGATGTCATCTGTTTTTATTCTGTCAAGGAGAATGTCTTGGACAGGATGATGCCATCGGTCTTCATCCCTCCCAGGAGGATGTTCCCTGTTCTCATCCAACCGAGTAAGATGCCTTCTGTCTTCATCCCACCCAGAAGGATGTCCCTTGTCTTCTTCCCACCCAGAAGGATGCCCCTTGTCTTCTTCCCACTCAGAAGGATGTCCCTTGTCTTCTTCCCACCCAGAAGGATGTCCTCTGTCTTCATCTCACCCTGGAGGATGTCATCTGTCTTCATCCCACCTAGAACATTGCCCTTTTTTCTTCATCCCACCCAGAAGCATGTCCCTTGTGTTCCTCCCACCCATAAAGAGGTCCATTGCCTTCATCCCACCCAGAAGGATGTCCCTTGTCTTCAAAGAGAAAGAGGTCCGTTGCCTTCATCCCACCCAGAGGATGTCCCTTGTCCTCATCCCAGCCAGAAGGAGGTCCATAGTCTTTATTCCACACAGAAGGATGTCCTCTGTCTTCAGCTCACCCAGGAGGATGTCATCTGTCTTCATCTGATCCAAGAAGATGTCCTGTGTCTTCATCAAATCCAGGAAAAGGCCCTCTGTTTTCATCTAACCCAGAAGGATGTCCTTTGTCTACTGTAAATCCCACCCAGGAAGAGGCCTTCTGTTCTCATCCAACCCAGAAGGATGTCCTTTGTCTATATCCTACCCAGGAGGATGTTCCTTGTGTTCATCCCACCCAGAAGGATGTCCTATGTCTTCATCTCACCAAGAGAGGCTGTCACCTGTCTTCTTCTCACCCAGGGGAAAGTCTGTCTTCATTCCACCCAGAAGGATGTTCCTTGTCTTCATCACACCCAGAAAGAGGTCCGTTGCCTTTATCCCACCCAGAAGGATGTCCCTTGTCTTCATCCAAGCCAGAAAGAGGTCTGTTGCCTTCATCCCCACCCAGAAGAAGGTCCATAGTCTTTATTCCACACAGAAGGATGTCCTCTGTCTTCAGATCACCAAAGAGGATGTCATCTGTCTTCATCTAACCCAGAAGGATGTCCTTTGTCTACTGTAAATCCCGCCCAGGAAGAGGCCTCTGTCTTCATCCAACCCAGAAGGATGTCCTTTGTCTGTCATCCTACCCAGAAGGATGTTCCTTGTGTTCATCCAACCCAGAAGGATGTCCTTTGTCTATATGTCCCACCCAGGAGAAAGTCTGTCCCCACCCAGAAGGATGTGTTTCATCCCACCCAGGAAGAGGTCCTTTGTCTTCATCCCACCAAGAAGAAGGTCCTATGTCTTCCTCTCCACCCAGGAGGATGTCCTTTGTCTTCATCTCACCCAAAGATCCTTTGGAAAGGAAGGCCCTCTGTCTTCATCTAACCCAGAAGATGTCCTTTGTCTGTAAATCCCACCCAGGAAGAGGCCTTCTGTCTTCATCCAACCCAGAAGGATGTCCTTTGTCTATATCCCACCCAGGAGGATGTCCCTTGTGTTCATCCCACCCAGAAGGATATCCTTTGTCTTCATCTCAACCAGAGATGTCCTATGTCTTCATCCCCACCCAGGAATGTCCTTTGTCTTCATAAAATCCAGGAAAAGGCCCTCTGTCTTCATCTCACCCAGAAGGATGTCCTTGTCTACATCCCACCCAGAAAGAGGCCTTCTGTCTTCATCCCACCCAGAAGGATGTCCTTTGTCTATAGGTCCCACCCAGGAGTCCCTTGTGTTCATCCCACACAGAAGGATATCCTGTCTTCATCTCACCCAGGAGGAATGTCATCTGTCTTCATCTCACCCAGGAAGGATGTCCCTTGTCTTCATTTCCACCCAGAAGATGTCCTCTGTCTTCATCCCACCCAGGAAGGATGTCCCTTGTCTTCATCCCACCCAGGAAGAGGTCCCCTGTTTTCATTTCACCCAGGGGAAAGTCTGTCATTCCACCCAGAAGGATGTCCCTTTCCACCCATAAAGAGGTCCGTTGCCTTCATCCCCCAGAAGGATGTCCCTTGTGTCATCCCACCCAGAAGGAGGTCCATAGTCTTTATTCTGTCCTCTGTCTTCAGCTCACCCAAGAGATGTCCTCTGTCTTCATCCCACCCAGGAAGATGTTCTTTGTCTTGATCCCACCCAGGAAGATGTCCCTCTGTCTTCATCCCACCCAGGAAGATGTTGTTTGTCTTCATCCCACCCAGGAAGAGGCCTTCTGTCTTCATCCAACCCAGAAGGATGTCCTTTGTCTATATCCCACCCAGGAGGATGTCCCTTGTGTTCATCCCACCCAGAAGGATATCCTGTCTTCATCTCATCCAGGAGGCTGTCTTCTGTCTTCATCTCACCCAGAAGGATGTCCCTTGTTGTCATTTCACCCAAGAGGATGTCCTCTGTCTTCATCCCACCCAAAAGGATGTCCCTTGTTTTCATCCCACCTAGGAAGAGGTCCCCTGTTTTCATTTCACCCAGGGGAAAGTCTGTCTTCATTCCACCCAGAAGGATGTCCCTTGTCTTCATTCCACCCAGAAAGAGGTCCGTTGCCTTCATCCCCCCAGAAGGATGTCCCTTGTCCCCATCCCATCCAGAAGGAGGTCCATAGTCTTTATTCCACACAGAAGGATGTCCTCTGTCTTCAGCTCACCCAAGAGGATGTCATCTGTCTTCATCTCACCCAGGAAGATGTTCTTTGTCTTGATCCCACCCAGGAAGATGTCCTCTGTCTTCATCCCACCCAGGAAGATGTTGTTTGTCTTCATCCCACCCAGGAAGAGGCCTTCTGTCTTCATCCAACCCAGAAGGATGTCCTTTGTCTATATCCCACCCAGGAGGATGTCCCTTGTGTTCATCCCACCCAGAAGGATATCCTGTCTTCATCTCATCCAGGAGGTTGTCTTCTGTCTTCGTCTTACCCAGAAGGATGTCCCTTGTCTTCATTTCACCCAAGAGGATGTCCTCTGTCTTCATCCCACCCAAAAGGATGTCCCTTGTTTTCATCCCACCCAGGAAGAGGTCCCTTGTTTTTATTTCACCCAGAAGAATATTGTCAGTCTTCATCCCATTCAGGATGATGTTTTCATCTTTCTCTCTCTCTAGAGGCCGGCCCCTCAGGGAGCAAAATGCTTCATCCCCCAAGTTTTTGGTATGCCTCGACCTTCCCTGTAAACACTCCTAAATTAGGGAAACCATTCTCTTTTATACTTATTGGTAGGTCGGGAACTTATGATATATTTAATGCAGCACTAAAATAAAATAATATAATATTAAATAATAATATAAATTAAAATGCATGTTGAAACAATCTACCAGCTATTACCTATTCAAATTTTTCAAATAACACAATTTAAATTGCTACATTTTAAATAGTAACAGCTGGTAGGTTGATTCAATATAGAATGCACACATAATAATTTATTGTATTATTTATTATTATATTTTTTTATTTTAGTGCTGTACCAAATTTAAAGTATTGTTTGCACTTCATTTCCCCTGGGTGGTCATAGGAGGTGTACAGCAGCTATAATTAGAGGAATTGCAACTACAAATTATATCCAGAGGTTTCAATTTATTTAAGGTTGGGGACACCTTTTGATCTGGTTTTCTTGATATATCTTACTGTATAAAAATATTATGGCTTCTATTAGGTTGATAGTTATTGGTTATGTTTTCTACTGTTGATGTATGCATTCCACTAAAAAAACATGTCACTAGAAATTCATTGGTGCTTGAATATGCATACATTTTTGGGTGTAATGTGACAGTGTAAATATTATTGCCTTGCTGACCTGTAGCCCAAGATAAGAGCTAGGAGGACTACACAGTCTCTTTGAGAAAACACAGGCAGAGAACACATGGCAGTTCTGAATTTCTGACAGGATCAATATTTTTTACTTATAAAGCTGATATACCAAAATGCTTTTGATAGTATATTTAATATAATTGGTGAGGTAAAAAATAAATATTTATAGCAGTGGTGATCAACTTGAAAATCATAGCAGGCCTCAAGTGTGGCCCCTGACACTTCCAGAGGACTGCACAATACCAGCACAGAGCAAAATGTACGGGCAACAGTGCAGCTCAATGGCCAAGCGTTTTGGCACTTTTGCAGTGTATCGCAATGCACACAGAAGAACTTGGAGTACAATAACCCACAGCATTGGCGTCAGTGAATGCAATAATAAACCCCTAGCACTGGTGTCAGTGGCACTAATAATAACTCCTGGCATTGGTATCAGTGAGTGTAATAATAACCCCCAACATTAGTATCAGTGAGTGCAATGATGACCCCCAGCACTGGTGTCAGTAAATGCAATAATAACCCCCAGTACTGGTGTCAGTAGACACAATAATGACCCCCAGCATTGGTGTCAGTGACCAAAATAACCCCCAACATTTGTGTCTGTGAATGCAAGAACAACCCCCAGCATTGGTGTTTATCTCCCTTATGACCATCATTGTGTGTGTGTGTGTGTAGGGAGTTATCTTTTACTGCTATAACCACAAATACAGGAGGGGGGGGAGGATTAAAATTTCACTGCCATGGTCATCAATGCAAAGTATGAAAGGGTGAGGGGATTAACTTTTAATGCCATGGGCCACCAATGCAAAGCATGGGAGGTTAACTTTTCATTGCCATGTACCACCAATACAAGGTAAAGGAACAAAATATCATGGAGAACCCCAGTGGGGGATTAAAGGTTTGTGCGCATTGTGCTAGCCTCAGGGCTGGATTACGGATAGGATTAATGCACTGAGGCTAGAGCCTGGGGTTCTGCATGATGTTTTTATGCTGTTTCCTTCAAGATTAATAAAGTGGACTGTGGTGTTTCAATGCGGCCACCCGGATTTTTCCTTTACCGCAGGTGTCCGGCACACACACGCTGGAGGAGTGGGAGGTTTGGACAAAGTGAACTTACCTGGAGCAGAGCTGCATTTTTCTTAACCAATGAAAGGCATGGGGGGTGGGGAGGTAAGTTTCACTGCCACAAACCACCAATGCAGGGGGCAGTGGCAGTAAAAATTACCCCCCCCCCAACTTCCATCTGCATTGGTGATCCTGACAGTGAAAGTTAACCTCTCACATCCCGCCTCCTGAATTAGTGACCATGACAGTAAAAATGAACCCCCCCCCCTCCATTTTTGGCCGTGACAGTAAAAGTTAACCTCACACCTCACTTCTGCATTAGTGGTCATGTCAGTAAAAATACCCCCATCCCCCACCCCGTCTCAGGCATTAGTGGTCATGAAAGTGAAAATTTACCCCCTCCCACTCCATGGCAGTGAAACTTCCCCTATACCACCCAGTGGTGTATTTTGTTTTTGTGCTGACCTAGGCAAGACTAAAATCGGGCAACCCCTATCTAAATTTGTCCCGCCCTTCCTTTTTATGATACACCCCTTCATCTGTAAACCCCACCCTTCCTCTTTAGGCTCCACCTCTTCCTATTAGACCTCCACTTCTTATTTTATTCTATTATCAGTGTCATTTGGAGGAATAGTGCCCCATCATTGGTGTCAGTGGAAGGAATAGTGCCTCATCATTGGTGTCAGTGGGAGGAATAGTGTCCCATCATTGGTGTCAGTGGGAGGCATAGTGCCCCATCATTGGTATTATTGGAAGGAATAGTGTCCCATCATTGGTGTCAGTGGGAGGAATAGTGTCCCATCATTGGTATCAGTGGGAGGAATAGTGCCCCATCATTGGTGTCCGTGGAGGGAATAGTGCCCCAACATTGGTGTCAGTGGGAGGAATAGTGCCCCATCATTGGTGTCAGTGCGAGGAATACTGTCCCATCATTGGTGTCAGTGGAAGGAATACTGTCCCATCATTGGTATCAATGGGAGGAATAGTGCCCCATCATTGGTATCAGTGGGAGGAATAGTGCCCCATCATTGGTGTCAGTGGGAGGAATAGTGCCCCATCATTGGTATCAGTGGAAGGAAAAGTGCCCCATCATTGGTGTCGGTGGAGGGAATAGTGCCCCATCATTGGTGTCAGTGGGATGAATACTGTCCCATCATTGGTGTCAGTGGGAGGAATACTGTCCCATCATTGGTGTCAGCGGGAGGAATAGTGCCCTGTCATTGGTGTCAGTGACACCAATGTTGGGGCACTATTCCTCCCACACTGACACTAATGATGGGGCACTATTCCTCCCACACTGACACCAATGATGGGGCACTATTACAGGCTGTGTGTTGGGCACCAGGGGTTTATAGAGTTCACATTTACACACACAAAAAGCTCCCCACCCATCTGTTGGCTCAGGTCATACAGGCCATATACAGTTTTAATTAGAGAGAGAGAGAGTATGAAAGCAGTCAGTTTCTGCTTTGTCCTGTCTGTAAACTAAAGCTTTGATTTAAATATCAAATAATAACCACTTGCGGACTGCTAACCCGCAATGTACTGCAGACAGGCGGTCGGTTGTCAATCAATATAGGGCTCTGTACAGAGGGAATTATATCTCTGTTTTTCATCCCTGCAAAGCAGGGAGAAACAAAAAGATATATTAGTAAAAACAGCACACATTACACATTGTTAGGCACACATTTAACCCCTTGATCACCCTAGATGTTAACCCATTCCCAGCCAGTGTCATTACTACAGTGACAGTGTATAGTATTATCACATGATCACTGTATTAGTGTCACTGGTGATGTCAGATGCAGTTAATCAGTTCCACCCCCACTCCCCAGCGTCAGTGTATGGTTGCCTGCCCCACTATTGCAGTCCCATTTTTAAGTAGATGACCAATGCCCTTAGTAGTATATAAAAAAAAAAAATCTAATACGTATACCATAGTTTGTAGATGCTATACCTTTCACACAAAGCAATCAATATGCACTTTTATCAAAGACATGTAGTAGAATATACACTGCTCAAAAAAATTAAAGGAACACTTTGAAAACACATCAGATGTCAATGGGGAAAAAATCTCCTGCTGGATATCTATACTGATATGGACTGGGTAATGTGTTAGGAATGTAAGGATGCCCCATCGTTTGATGGAAATGAAAATAATCAACCTACAGAGGACTGAATTCAAAGACACTCCAAAAATCAAAGTGAAAATATAATGCAGCAGGCTAGTCCTTTTTGCTGAAATTTCATTGCAGCAACTCAAAATGGTGCTTAGTAGCTTGTATGGCCCCCACGTGCTTGTATACATGTCTGACTCCTAATGAGATGACGGATGGTGTCCTGGAGTATTTCCTCCCAGATCTGGACCAGGGCATCACTGAGCTACTGGACAGTCTGAGGTGCAGCCTGGCAGCATCAGATGGACCAAAACATGATATCCTAGATGTGTTCTGTTGGATTTAGGTCAGGCGAGTATGGGAGCCATTCAGTGGTATCAATTCCTTCATCCTCCAGGAACTGCCTGCATACTCTCACCACTTGAGGCCGGTCATTGTCGTGCATCAGGAGGAACCCAGGACCCACTGCACCAGCGTAGGGTCTGACAATGGGTCCAAGGATTTCATCCTGATACCTAATGGCAGTCATGGTGCCATTGTCTAGCCTCTAGGGATCTGTGCATCCCTCCACAGCTTCTCCAGACCCTTTCACGTCTGTCACATGTGCTCAGGGTGAACCTGCTCTCATCTGTGAAAAGCACAGGTTGCAGTGGTGGACCTGCCAATTCTGGTGTTCAATGGCAAATGCCAATCCAGTTATATGGTACCTGGCAGTGAGTACAGGGCCCACCAGAGGACATCGGGCCCACAGGCCACCCTCATTAAGTCTGTTTTTGATTGTTTGGTCAGAAACATTCACACCAGTGGCCTGCTGGAGGTCATTTTGTAGGGCTCTGGCAGTGCTCATCCTGTTCCTCCTTGCACAAAGGAGCAGATACCATTCCTGCTGATGGGTTAAGGACCTTCTATGGCCCTGTCCAGCTCTCCTAGAGTATCTGCCTGTCTCCCGGAATCTCCTCCATGCTCTTGAGACTGTGCTGGGAGACACAGCAAACCTTCTGGCAATGGCACATATTGATGTGTCATCCTGGAGGAGTTGGACTGCCTGTGCAACCTCTGTAGGGTCCAGCTATGGCCTCATGCTACCAGTAGTGACACTGACCCTAGCCAAATGCAAAACTAGTGAAAAAACAGTTGTAAAAGATGAATAGGGAAAAAATGTCAGTGGCCTCCACCTGTAAAACCCATTCCTGTTTTGGGGGTCGTCTCATTGTTGCCCATCTAGTGCACCTGTTAATTTCATTAACACCAAAGCAGCTGAAACTGATTAACAACCCCCTCAGCTACTTAACTGACCAGATCAATATCCCAGGAGTTTAATTGACTTGACGCTATACTCTGATTAAAAAGTGTTCCTTTAATTTTTTTGTGCAGTGTTTTTTGGCCAATATATATTAAAAAATTAGATTTTTTTTAAATTTTTGAGTGGATATGTTTTATAGTAGAAAGTAAAAAAAATATTTTTTTATTTTTTCAAATGTTGTGGTCTTATTTAGTTTGCATATCGCAAAAAAAAAAAAAATCCAGCAGTGATTATATACCATACAAACAAACCTCTATTTATGTCCCAAAAAAAAAAACACGACAGAAAATTTGTTTGGGTACAGCATTGCATGACCGCGCAATTACCAGTCAAAGTAGCGCATGCAGTGCTGTACCCAAACAAATTTTCTGTCATTTTTTTCTTTTTTTCATTATAAAGGGGGTAAAATCTTTCAGAGCTCAAATGGATTATATATATATAGTTATATAGTTAGTCTGGCTGCAAAAAGACAAAAGTCCATCCAGTTCAACCATAGAAAAAAAAAAAAAGTTATAATCCTATACCCACAGTTGATCCAGAGGAAGGCAAAAAAATCCAGCAAAGTACAATCTAATTTGCTCCTGCTGGGAAAAAAATTCCTTCCTGATCCCCCAAGAGGCAATCGGATATTCCCTGGATCAGCTTTACCTGTAAATGTTAGTATATGTGTATATATATATATAGACACGCTGTATATTTGTTAAAAAATATATAATTTAAAAAAAAATAAAATTGTCCCAAACCTTTTTACTTTCCATTTAACCATGTGTATTTCTATCTCAATATGGAATATTTATAAATATTACCTGTAGTGCATACTGCTGTTTTGGTAAAAGTGTCCCTTTTACAGTGGGGATCGAAAGTTTGGGCACCCCAGCTAAAAATTTGTATTAATGTGCATAAAGAAGCCAAGGAAAGATGGAAAAATCTCCAAAAGGCATCAAATTACAGATTAGACATTCTTATAATATGTCAACAAAAGTTAGATTTTATTTCCATCATTTACACTTTCAAAATAACAGAAAACAAAAAAATTACATCTGCAAAAGTTTGGGCACCCTGCAGAGTTAATATCTTGTACTGCCCCCTTTGGCAAGTATCACAGCTTGTAAACGCTTTTTGTAGCCAGCCAAGAGTCTTTCAATTCTTGTTTGAGGTATCTTTGCCCATTCTTCCTTACAAAAGTCTTCCAGTTCATTGAGATTTCTGAGCTGTCTGTCACGCACTGCTCTTTTAAGGTCTGTCCATAGATTTTCAATTATGTTGAGGTCAGGAGATTGTGAAGGCCATGGCAAAACCTTCAGTTTACGCCTCTTGATGTAATCCCCCGTGGATTTTGAGGTGTGTTTAGGATCATTATCCATTTGTAGAAGCCATCCTCTCTTTAACTTCAGCTTTTTCACAGATGGCATCAAGTTACCATCCAAAATTTGCTGAAATTTTATTGAATCCATTTTTCCTTCTACTCGTGAGATGTTACCTGTGCCACTGGCTGCAACACAACCCCAAGGCATGATTGATCCAACCCCATGCTTAACAGTTGGACAGAGGTTCTTTTCATTAAATTCTGTGCCCCTTCTTCTCCAAACGTACCTTTGCTCATTCCGGCCAAAAAGTTAAATTTTAACCTCATCGGTCCACAGAACTTGTTTCCAAAATGCATCAGGCTTGTCTATATGTTCATTTGCAAAGTTCAAACGATGATTTTTGTGGTGAGGACGTAGAAGAGGTTTTCTTCTGATGACTCTTCCATGAAGACCATATTTGTACAAGTATCTCTGTATAGTGGAATAGTGTACCACAACTCCAGTGTCTGCCAGATCTTTCTGGAGGGATCGTGCAGTCAAACGTGGGTTTTGAATTGTTTTTCTCACAATCCTGTGAGCTGTTCTGTCTGATATTTTTCTTGGTCTTCCAGATCTTGCTTTAACTTCCACTGTTCCTGATGACTGCCATTTCTTAATTACATTCCGAAGAGAGGATATTGACATCTGAAAACGCTTTGCTATCTTCTTATAGCCTTCTCCAGCTTTGTGAGCGTCAACTATTTTCAGTTTCAGTTTTCTAGACAACTGCTTAGAAGAACCCATGGTGCTGATTGTTGGGGCAAGGTCAGATGAGTCTGGGCATTTAAAACCTTTGAGATTGACATCACCTGGTCTTCCCAGACGATGATTGAGAACAATCCATGACACTGGTAGGTCTCAGCTTTGCAAAGGGGGCAGTGCATGCTATAAATTCTGCAG